TCAAATATAAATTGCATCAATTAATGTGCAAAAAAAAAGCTAAAATATTGAATAAAAAAAGAAACATGTAAATCAAGACCTATTATGGAAACATATTGGATTGTTTAAAGCCTATCCTTGAGATTTAAGAGTTTTTGTGATTTGTCAGGAAATAAAATGCTAGAAAATAAACAGTAGACTCAATACATAAACACAACAGAGTGAAATGGTTTTTAAAGGAGCATATCACAAGTTCCAGAGGTTTGCAGACGTGGCCCCCTCTGGCGATGAGTTAAAGTGGCACCAGTGTTGTCTACGTAAATGGGAGAAGAGAAAATTGCAGTCTACCGCTGTGACTGCACAGGTCTTTTGTTTAGAAATGGGTGGAGATATGGGTGGAGATTCAACAAAGTAGTCAGGTGACAGAGAGCGCACAGCACGTCACACCCATGTGCAAGCCCAGAAAATCCAACCCGAGTCACTCTCATGAAGAGATTAATGGAGACAACTGTGGTGAAAGACAATGGCTAATTTTAAATGTCACGCATTGTAAGGTCATGTATGGGATAAGGGGAAAAATGCAACTTTTAAACTTCTAAAGCACCTTCAAAGAGAGTATGGTTATTCTTAGGCATTATTTTCATCTCTTTTCCTGTAGCTTTAAGCTCTTACATGCTCTTCTGTAACAGCATGAGCTTCTAGATGTACTCCACAAAGTAAAGCATTTGTGCCGTGCAGAGCTAGTGAGCTGTTCAGACAGCTCCGCGACTTTTGCTATTTGGACTAGGCTCAAGACTAGTGGAAGAGGAGCTAGTAAAAAAGTGGAAATCTAAGAAGTACTTTTGCGCAATATAAAGGCACGAAAGCCTCTTTCAAAATGTCAAATCAGCTTAGAGATTTAATGGCTATATAGTCAAAAAACAAATGTTCAGAGCTGAGCAAAGGCAGATAAAGTAACAGTTAGTTAAATCCTGTAGGGTAAAATATAAAATGGAAAGTTGTTTAAAGAGACAGTGACCCGAGACGTTACTTTTGAGCTTTTGAAAAGACCTGTTATCCATCTTTAAGAAAATGTTGGATAATGTTGGAGTAAGAGGAACATTTTCAGGAGAATAGCTGACAAAATGATTTATTGTAATTACTATTTAATAGTTACCAAGTCATTCATGATTAAGAGTCTAGCACCATTCTCCAACAATATGGCATAAAATAAACTTTTTTGTAATACTTTAGAGGGAATCACAGTTTTTCAGGCCTGAGTTAATTAAGACTCCAATAACCATCTTCAAATTAATTTGTCCATAGGGGATGGATTTTACCTACAGTATGCTATATAAAAAACACAGTCTAAAACTTGTTATAATGTTAGGGATATTATAAGAGTTACCAGGATATCTGACGGTCAAAGATGATTTTCCATTTTTATTCCAATCCAGTGCACTTCCAGTGGCGCTTTTGAATTATATTCATATATATTTTTAGATGTGCAACATAAATATTTAATCTTCAATGAAGAGTAAAGCGTAATTTCATTTTTCATGGGAGGGAATCAAACATGGCAAGAGACGCTGGAGGTGACACCATTTGGACCTGATCAGCTTAACATCAAAATGAATCATCTGTCCAAAGACAGATTAAGACTGTACACGCTGTCTTTTTCCAGGACCTGGTTTAGCTACAAGACTGGGCTAACTGCATGCAGCGAGGCTAAAGCTTTATTCTGCTGCCTTGGATGCCCCCTTACTTTTTCAAATGTCAGGATCTGACCCAGCATGGATAACGAAAGGTAGGACTGATTTAAAGCATGTTTTAGAAAAGGCAAAGAAGCATGAACAATCTGGGATTCACATTGAAAATGATATAATATAGTGTTTCAAAATGTTTGTTAATTTGCCCAGTTGCTCTTAAATAAACACATTCTCAGAAAATAAATCGTTTTTATGTATTAAAAAGAATATAAAGCTGACTAATAACTTCTCCATTATTAAACTGGTACATCATTTTTTATTGGACCATGCAAAATACAGATCTGCCTTCACAAAGCATCAGAAGGGCAAGATTTATGTACTACTACTACTACTACTAATAATAATAATTTAACTTTATTGTTCTCACACTGGAGAAATTTACCTCTGCATTAACCCATCCCCTTGGAAAGCAGTGGGTTGCCATTGTGTGGCGCCAGGGGAGCATATTATTATGTGTCATGCTCATGAAAATGGAGCCATGGCGGAAGTTTAACTGAAGAAACTCAATGCTTTCCTACATCCACCTGTGACGCAGCCGATCAGCTTTGAACCACAACTCCACGAAAGACATTGGCATCCAAAGTTCATCTTAAAAGGCCTCCGATACGCACTCGTCTGCTCCTGTGCGCAGGCTGAGGATGCGCTGTGTGACTTCATTCAGATGACACTGTTTCAACCCACCTCCAGCCTAAAGCTTCATCAGTGTGTCATTCCTCACAGACTCTTACTGCGTTCCCTTTCTCATCTTAACCGGGTCTGGCTAAAGACCGCCATGTTGAGCCTGGTTCTGCAAACGGTTTCTTCCTAACAGGGAGTTTTTCCTCTCCACTGTCGCTTCATGCTTGCTCATAATGGAAAGGTTCTCTCAACCTGTGTTATCCTACTGGACTTCCATCTTCCAGGTCCCTGAGTGAAGCTCTAGTATCAGCTCACGCAATCCACTGGATCTCCCCATAAAGTTCAATATACCATCTTGCTAAAGCCGGGCGTACACTGTGCTATTTTCGGGGCGATTTTTTCAGTCATGCGAGAATCTTTCGATCGGGCCGACTTTCAGCCCGTCGTGTAGTTTACAGGGGGTAACGGGGTAATCAGTCACTCACGACCACCTCCTGATCAGGAATCGTGAGGTCAAACATTTCAAGATTTTCTTCCGACCGTCGTGGGCAAATTGCTCAGTGTGCAAACAAGGATTCTTCTGTAAACACAGCAACGTGGTAGGGATGCAATGAGTGAAATGCAGTTCTGTCTGTAAAATTGACAGACCGTAGTAGCCACGTTTGCTCAGCCATGTCTTTTTTACAAATATGTCGTCACCTTTTCTTTTTAGGGCTTTCAACACAAAATTGCACAAATTGCCAATGCAGCACGTTCACTATAGTGAGCTTAATATTCCCCTTCTATTTGTTTGGCTTCCGGATAGACGAGTCAGAGCAGCTCCATCTCACTGCGGAGTCTGACCTGCTTTTTAGACGTACAGTGTGAGCAGGTAGATCACATAAGAGAGTGCTGCACATACATCGTGAGCTGCGAACTCACACTGTACGACTAAACCCTGTGGATTAGTCGTACAGTGTGAGCATTAGCTGCGTGCAGCAACTGAAAAAAATCGCACAGTGTACTAGGGGTGTAAATCACACTCATCATGGCAATTCCATTTATTATCTATCTCCCTACCCAACGATTCAATTATTTTCGATACTCAACAATAAATCATCTTCTTTTTCCTCCGTCACGTCTGTCTTGCCTACTGTTTACGTGACTGTGTGTGTGCATGCGGAAAGAGGGTGGTGGCTAAAGGAAGCGAGGTAGGAGGGCAAAATAGGTTTAGCGCCACCGCAGCATGGGAGTCAGAATTACGTCCAGGAGCAAGTGGATAAAAATAGACCGGAGGAAAAAAACAAAAACATGAATTGATACTCTTACAGACGTGTCGATGCATCGGATCGTTGGCTGTTTGATCGATGCATCAATACAAAACTATTATTATTTACACCCCTATAGTGTACGCCCGGCTTAACCAGCAGTCTACAGACTGACCAACTTTATCTATCTCCACTCCACCACCAGTTTAAGGCCTGGAGGGAAATCATATCTACCAAAATTAAATGCTGTGTTTCTTGCCAAGGTCTCAGCGCCAAAAACCAAGTAATTGTATCAACAAATTTCTCCTAACTGTCTTTTCTCTTCATGTGAGTTTTCATATTGAAATATATAGTTTTGTAAATAAAATGAATCCAGTTTGTAAATTGCCTTTTTTGATAAGGACCTGTCTAAGTTAATTCAGCTGTGGTGAGAGGCGTATAAGTATTTTTTTTTATGTTTTTGGGTTCTCCGTCTCCTATTAGAGGGTTACATTGTGCAACTTTTAGTTTTGCTAAAAGTTTGCTTTGCTTTTCTAACAGCAAACTTTTTGTTTTCCCAATTTTTGATGCAGCTTTATCACCAATATAAATCAGTGAGAGATAACAGTGCGTGTCACTTTAAGAGTGAGTCTTCGGGTGGCTTCTTGATATTAATAGAGCCGCTGTGTCTTCCTCCTCTGACGTAATGCCTACAGAGAGACAGGCGGAGAGGTCCTGTCACAGCAAAGCGATAACAGCAGTCTGAAAGGAAAAGACTAAAAAAAAAAAGAAAAGAAAAACAAGCTGACCTGCTTTGGTTTGCACTGACCACCAACTCTATGAATACCAAACTAACTATAGCGTCGGGAATGTCTCAACACCCGAGCCAAACTCACTCACTAATCAGTTGGTATTAGCCGAAGCCTTTAACTATCTCGCTTCTCTGAACAAAGAGAAAAAGAGACAGCCAAGACAGTCACCCCGTCCGACATCATCAACAAACAAAAAAAAAAAAAAAACCACAAAGAGACGAACCAACCAGACAGCCACCATCTTTACAGACTGCTGAAAGAGACACTCAGAGAGAAAAGAGGCTTATTCTTATTTTTGATCAACAGGTAAGCATCCATACAACTAAATCTGCGAAAGCTTCTCCATTTTATTGCATTATTATATCCTATTATATTATATATTTCAATGCAGGCTTCGATTCGCAGGCGGATGGATGTACTCCCGGACGATGAGATATGTCCGAAAAGGAAGCGATTATGAGAGTAGGGGGGGGGGGGGGATGTAGCAGTTAGTAGATGTTTTACGACGCAGCAGTCGGTTTGCGTCTTATGTAACTAACGGCCTGAGCAGCAGCAGAGACGGTGTGAGGGGAGGGGGGGTAGAGAGGGAGGGAGGGGGAGGAGAGGGGGGGAGTCTGCTGCTGAATGAAGAAGAGAGGAGGGAGTAACGCTTTGAATTCACATGGCAATTTACATTTAGCGCAGGACACCCTAAACGCAACACTAATAGGAATGGTGGGTAGGGGTGGGGGCCCCCTGATTCTGCTGCTACCGGGGACTGCTGCTACTGCTTTGATTTAACTTAGAGGCCAACAACAAGCAGAGAGCAAGCAAAGGGGGGGAGACGTGGAGTCGCTTCAAGTAGGTTTGTGCTTTTCCTCTTTTTTTCCTCTTTTTAAAAAAAGTTTTAAGTCTACGCTTTTTACGTTGAGCCGCGGCTCCTGATTGATCCCGATCGCTAAAGTTGCGTCACCGCGAAGTAGCTCCCGTCTAACTACCGCGTTGTGTTTGTTTTCTTCTTCTTTCATTGATAACTTTTTTTTTTCACGCTGTAAACTTGATACTCAAGTTCAGATTTCTTGACGCGCGCTGCGGAATTTAGAAGGAAAGTGTTACAAGTTCGAGAAAAAATAAACAAAAAGCGTCACGCTTTTCGGCTTCATTGAAGTTTATTAGAGCTTAAAGGCGAGAAAAAGTGTGATTTACACATGAAAGAAGTGTTGTTTATTCGATATGGCGCTGTTTTCATTGTTGGAGAGCGGCATGGTGGATGTTGAGTTGTCGACACATCCTCCCTTATCAACGATAAAACAAACAAGTGCACACTAAGCTCAACTGTAGACCCCCCTTATATTTGTTTGTTTTATTTTATGCTTTGGCCGGATGTTTTATGTTTATAGTGTTATTTCTCCCCAACTTTTCTCCCCCCGTTCCCCTCCCCTCCTCTTGTCGTAACACACTGTGATGTTCCTTTGAGATAAGGCTGTTGGGGTAGGCATGACAACTGTGTGGGGACAGCAGGGTATGTGAAGGCAGCACAATGAGGCAAGGAAGTTTTTTTTTTTTTTTTTAAACAAAAGTCCTCCAACAGAGTTTTCCTACCAGAGCCTTTCCTAAAACTTCCTAAAACTTTACAAAAAAACAGCCTGCCTTGCTTTTATTTAGAAAATAACTTGCAATAATGTCTTTAAAATAGACTGCAGCTCCTGTTTAAACCACCCCACACAATGATCCCAGCCCTTTATAAACTTTGAAACCCTACTCAAAGATGCACACTTTTATCTTTAAGATATAATGCGATTTTACTTGAAAGACTACATGGTTGCATATACCTTGATGTAAGATAGAGATGATTTATCCAATTTGGGACCTTGTTTAATAGAGCAGCACATTAAAAGTTGCCCTAATCTTTTCCTTGAGCACAACAATGTTTTTTTCTTTTTTTTTTGCCAGTGCAACCTATCATGAAAATAATGTAAAGACAGATTGCTCTAGGATACATCCTTGAGGAGCGCTAGTGTTTTTGCCGTCCTTTTATTCAGCAGATCATTGCTGATATTGTAATATAAGTGTCCAAATCAATAAATGCATACGTAGCTTTGAAATTCAAGTTTGATTCCAATCAAAATGTGGATTTTTGCATTATTTCAATGCAAATAATAGAATGCCAACTTTCCCCTGAAGTTTTTCTCATCAGTGACCCCCCCTAAACAAACTGACTGAGAAACCTACCGAAGATATATTGCGGCATTAAAACAGGTAGATCGTGGCGGACAGGTTGATGAAAAAACAAAACAAAAAAACAACTATAATATACCTTTCAAGATTTAACATTCGTGGGCTGATGTGATGAGTCTAATGGGGTGATTGATAAAGATTAGGCGTTTTTATAAAAAGGTTTTAGTGTGCAAAATGCAGCATTTCTGCAGATGCTTTCAGTTGGACAGAAGGCAAGATATGCAAAGTGTTTAAAACTTTGTACATTTATTAATTATTTTGATAACTGGGGAGCAATTACTGTATAACCTCTACTTCTTGGTGACACTTTTTTCATATTTTGTATAAGTTTAGTAATTACTGTATAAGTAAGTTGGATAACTGTGTAATGCTTTTAGAGTGGTTGGCTTTTAGTTTTGCAAAGACGTTTCATTTTTTTTCCCTTTATCTTATTCCTTCAACAAATTTTTTCTAAGCAGAGTTCTTATAAAAGCTTAGAAACAAATAGATTTTCTTTTATACAGCAGATAGCCTTCAATTTTTTAACCCATCCCAGGCCTAAGCTCTCGTTAACCTCCTGAAATGCTTTTTCTTACTTGTTAAAGCCACAAAATTAATTTAACACACATGAACACTTACTTTAAAGTTAATTTAGATTACACTAACGTACGTTAAAATATACGATTTTGCAGATGCGAAGTTGAGAAGATTCATGCGAAGTACGTGACTCTAGCTTTCAATTCTCAAAAAAATGAGTGTGGGTAGAAGCTAACACATCGGTTTCTGTGGTTCACATTTAGATTAATATGTTTTACATTTAAGTTCTGCACTTTTTCCTACATGATGTCCAAGTAAAAAAATCAGTTTGTAGTTATTCTCATTTACCCACCTAAGCGTGTTAAAAGATCTGCTCCATCTGTTAAATCTCTTTTTTTTTTATTGTTTTCACATCTGCTTTCCAGCGGTCTGTACATGTAATAATGACAATTTCTTAGCAGTTCCTCAAATTCTTGTTTTTCTTTTCTTATAATTCTTTTCTAAAGGCTGGCATTGAGAAGCAGCTTTACTCCTAAGTTTTGAAGTGAAGGAAAATCATGTTTTGATCAAGTTTCAAAACTCATAAAACTTTCACCGTTTTAAACATTTGACTTTAACTAGAGTAAATAAGTTGTAATCATTGTTATATATAAAAAAAGGCCTTGCAAACTTTTACAACTTGAATAAATCTTTTTAAAATGACTGACAACACTCAATGTTGTGTAAAAAAAAAAGAAAAGAAAAGAAAACATCCCGTTTTAAAGACACTGGATACCATTGTTTCTTAAGGCCTTTTTCGTAGCTGCTATTAAACGTCAAAACAGTTGACAACTTCCTAGAGTGAGCCTATTGCTTGTAAAACTCATTTGTGAATGTATGTGTGAGACAGAGCGGGAGACAGCAAAGCGCTTATGCCTTTCTGTGTGTGTGTGTGTGTGTCTGCATGGGCTGCGGAGACAAGCCATGGCTCACTCATATGGCTGCAATATGTGAAGCCTCTCTTGTGGTGGAACTTGGAGTAGAGAGAAAGTTTTGGAGGAGAGAGCTACAAAGAGAACACGCAGAGCGAGGGAAAGTCGGAAACGTCCCGCTCGTCCATAGCTGGAATGTATCTCCCGTGTTTTATTGATGGTTTCGACTTTCTGGAAGACACCAGCGACAACTGTAGTGATTTTTGCGGGCTGCCATGTTATTTGTATCTGGTCGTTTCGGAGCAGCCCTTACATGGGGGGGAGGTCGGTTGGAGACGGAGCGTAAAAAGTCGACCCAGTCGTTGTCATTTTTGGGGAAAAGTACAAGAGATTTCAGCCGCAGAGACATGATTTTGCTTGGTTGCTTTGAAGAATTACAGAACAGGCACCAAATAGGGTTTGGCCCTTTTTAACTAATCCCAATGATAGACAAAAACTCAGGCTCACAGGATTAGGCATGGGCTGGTATGAGATTAAAACCTCTAGCAGAAGTAGCACAGTATCACAATGATAGAAACAAACTAAAGCTATCACACGCTCAAAGTGTTGTTTTTTTCCCTGATAGCAGTTACTATTGTCTTTACTACGGTAGGTTGTTAATTCTAGTAACTATTGGCCTATTACAAAGGCTTGTTTTGTCAAACAAAGTTGATAAAACACTTTAGGTTGTGTTTTACCCGTACCCAAACTGGCCTGTTATTTGTACCTGGAAATCAATAAAAATTGCCACATTTCTTAAAATAAAAGTATGTTTGGAGAATTAGATTTTTTTTTCTTTACTGTGAAGCAACACATTGAGCAGGGAACATGTTCACAAATAAAGTTATATGTATACCTATAAATGCCACTTGTTTAGCTCCTAATATTAGCTTATACCCATGAGCTTTACTATGATCTATTTAAGGGAGCCATATTGGATTTTAACATAGAGCCTGTTGATCAAACTCCTCTTGCTTCATATCTACAACTTCAGAGGATATTCTTGTTATCATCCAACTTTCAAGTAAAAATTAAATGCACTACATTCTACACTACATGTAGTTAAGTGTTGGCTGGTATGAGGTTCCCACATATAGGTACAACAAGTCATCAACCTAATGATGATCCTCTGTTTTCAGGTATTTATTAAATAATTGTACAACATATGCAGCTCACAATGACAAATCCTGTGAAAAAAATGTCCATAAGTGAAACGCCTTGCTCACATTAAATGCATACTTTTACTACCTACATTACAAATATTAAAAGAGGGAAAATATAGAATATACTGGAGGAAAAACAAGCCAAATAAAGATACTAATCAATGTTTATCCAGCTCCTATATTTTTAAACCCCCCACTAACAGTTTGAACCTGTACTTTAAGCTCAATAAAATGATTATACTATTAATTAAATTTAACAATTTAAAAATAGCTTTTTCTGAACCATAAATAGTAGTCATTACTACTGGCGTTAAAATAATATAATTAGAGCTGAAAGAATTTATCTGGTTAATCGTGATAAATAGATTATTGAAATAATCGTCAACTAATTGATTAATCGTTAGCTGGTGTTTAGAGACTCTAAATTGACAGAGCAACCCACTTAGAGCAGCAATTATACCAAAAATTGTGAAAAAAGATAAAAAAAAATCTTTTTTGTCTGTTAATATGCTCTAACCAGAACTCCTCAAGTGGAAAAGTTTTATCTTCACCTGGTTTAATTTGGCAAAAAAAATCGTCTTTAAAGAACCTTTTGCTATTCGATTATTAATCGATTAACTGAAAAAAAAATTGACAGATTAATAGAGTGGTAAATTAATCATCAGTTGTAGCCCTAAATAGAATATATTAAAAAAATACTTCTGGAATAATGTTGGGTTCATCATAAATGTATGATTTTTGATACATAATCTGAAATATAATATAATTTTGTGCTCTCATATGCAGTGTTATACCTGTTTTTTAAGTTAGTTCTCCAACAGAGGAGCCTGACACTATCTTGTTAACTAGTCAGGGAATGTGCTGCATATCTAATCTTCAGCGTCCTGCTTAACAGACCTGCTGCTCTATACTTTGAAAACAACAGGAGCCCCTGATTGTTTCCTCTACGTGGCTTCTTGTAATCTAAAAACCATTGGTCACCTCGCTGGCCGGCAGTG